CAGGGATCATTCCTGCCCTTCTGTCCCAGTCTGGTCCGACTTCTCCGGCTGCTGCAGGACTTCCTGTTTGCTGAGGGTACAGACAACCACTCACTGTGGAGTGAAAAGGTAAACGGCCTGAATCTCTAGTATCTTTTAAAGAAAACTAAAATTCTAAAAATCTGTTTGAAAAAAAAGTCAAGTGCAAAAAGTCCATGAAAATAACATGAAAAAAAGGATAATATTTTTGTCACTGTTGGTATTGTTTGCTGTGAGTATTTTCATGCAGCCCTTTACTCAGTAAAATTCCTTTAAGATTATTGAATGGTCTATGCTGTGGCCTTTTGTGACTGTATTCCCATATAAACCTCCAGCTGTCACTGACTTACAGTATGACAGTATGCAGCTGCACGAGGTCAGTTTCATTGTTAAATGTCAGTGTGAAGTTTGTGGAGATGAATCACGTTGGTGTGTGGAAGAGAATCTGAGTCAACGCTGTATTTATGAACTGAAGGGTTTTATGTTGTCATACCGTACACACGCTGAAACGTGTGGGAAACTGGTCGTGCTTTGGTGTTGAGCTCTTTGTGGTTGTCGTTGTGTTGCAGATTTTTGAGGGGGTGGTGAACCTGCTGGACAGGTTACAGGCCTGGCACAGCACCCCTGGTAGCCCCGGCAACACCGAGCTGAAGGAGATGGCCCAGATTGGTCTGCGTATCATCACTGGATACATTCAGCAGCAGAACTCACAGGTCAGTCGGATCAACAGCTCAGAACGACAGGACAGAGATCCGTTCCTCACTTTTACAAACCCAGACTGTGTGGTTTAAGTACTGAAGGGAGATACAGAACACATTCACCTCGATAGGTTCACTCAGATTAGGACTTAAAAAGAAATACCAGGCCTTCTATGGGTGTCTCTGTCAAAGACATTGCAGTCATTCCTCTCACTGAAGTCAGGAGAGAGAAGCTCCTCTGACAACCTGCTGCTGCTGCTGCTGCTGGTGTTCATCTCCACAGTGCTACAACCTCAGACCATTTATTTTCAAATTGCAAATCATTACTGGGAAATTTACTCCTCACATCCCAACCAGCATAAATGTTTAGCATGCAATACTTCATATTTTCCAGGTATGTAATATCTTTTATGTGTTTCTGGAGAATATTTTGGATTATATTTTCCTTATATTATATATAATATTATTATAATTTTTTTGCAATAATAATAATAATCTGCATAAGGCAACATTTATCAACTCCCAGGATTATTTTGTTTGTTTTGTAAAAATGTAACTATGAACACAGTGAATACATAATGTAAAAGTTATTTGTTCTCGTATGAACATTTATTTATTAGTACAATCATTGGTGTCTTCCTGTCATCGTTCAGGTGTGTGTGATGGCGTACTTGAAGCTCCACAGTCTCCTCCAGACCGTGCTGTGTCTAAGCTGGGAGGAGGTGTGCTTCTTACTGGGGCGGGTGGGCGCCCCCCTGTGGCCAGGAGATAGTGCCTACAGTGGACACCCAGAGAGTTTCTCACAGCTGGTGCCCATCGTACGAACTCTTCTGGATCAGCACGCGGACCCCATCGTCCTCCAGACCCACCTACCAAACCTGCCCATCACCAACGGCAGCCCCACCTTTGCTCAGGACCTGAAGGTTTACTGCCACACGGTGGAGTGGCAGGGCTTTTACCAGCATCAGGTCGGAAAGTTTGCTGACATTATTTCTGAAATGATCCTCCATCTGTTTTTGCAGGGAGTCGAGTCTGTTTTTGTAGAAATGATCAACCGTCCACTGACAAACATTGCTGTCTCTGCTCTTCATCACCGCAGACTATACTTAGACTTTTTCCTGCTCCGACTCCCTGTGGGCGTCTGATTGAAGTAGCACAAAGTTTAAAAATACTATCACAAGTTTGTAGGAAGGAGAAGAAACTCCCAAATGTTTTCCTAACTGGCCTTGAATGTAACGTTCAGCTTCAGTTTATGTCCAAACCCGAAGCTCAGATATTTCATGAGGTGATCCCAAACAGACGCACTCACCGCTGGCTCGGAGCAGATTTATCTTTCCACTGTGCGACGGCGCACACGCATAAATCTGTTTGGTTTAGATTAATTCTGTACACACGTACAGAGTATGGCAGAACTTTGGCCGCCCTCACTCTTCCTAAACACAGGCTGATTTCTCACATGTATGTAGAAATGTATATGGGTTCAGAGTTTATGCCGTTTATCCTGAGCTGGAAGGGTTTTAGTACTTTTACGTCCAAGTTTTCAGGCTTATGTTGTACTTTAAATATGAGAGTAAATTAAACAAACAGCCGTGAAATCAAATATTTATTTTTGGACTTTTGAGCAAGTACCCTGTTAGTGGTGTGGGGATGCCATAATGTTATATCTTCAAGCTGTTTTTTTTAAATTTTATCTTACTAGGGAGTAAATGTATAAACAAAAAATTATGTTTATATATTCTTTTGCCAATCTCAATCATTTCTTGAATATCTTTTGTTTGCTCAATCTTTGTTGGGTCAAAGTTAGTCATTCATATGGCTATATATATGTTTATATATACATATACAAATATATATGTATAAATATACAAATATCTGTATATGTATGAAACATGTATATATGTATGTATATATGTTTATATAAATATGTGTAAATATGTGTGTTTCTTGTTCAACAGCCTGCTGGTTTAAAACACAGGTTTTATATATTTGTAAAATCTTCTTCATTGTCACATTAAGGGACTTTTGTACGGGCTCATGTTTTCACTCTCTGTTTGTGATCCTCCTGCTCCAGGTTTTACCGACCATGGAGCAATATGAGCTGGACACATTTGGGAGAAGCCACGACATCATGTCCAATTTCTGGAACTCCTGCTTCGATGATCTGATGAGCACGGCCTATAGACGAGACAAAGACAGATCTGACAGCAAATCAAAGTTTCAGGTCACGAGATGTTTGAAGCTTGAGTTATGTAAACACGAGGTTTTGGCATGTCTTCTTATTGATCTGACTATTCTGTTCAAAATTCATATATTACAGGAGGTCATCGTGGACCCGTACATGAAGCGAGTTAAGAGTGAGAACGCCAGACACCTGAGTTGGCAGAAGCAGAGTTCTGGCCAGCAGGGGGTGGTGTGGCAACACTGGAAATCCTTCCGCAGGCTTCTCACCAGTGAAAGAGGAGCATGGGCCAACAGGTGTTACCACATTTGATAGTATTTATTTTTTCTTTGATTGTTTTAGCTTATAATTATACCTTACCTTTCGTGCTGTCAACCACATTTATTTATATTGTTTTATGGCAATATTCCATTTCAGGTTTCAGCCTGAGGTGAAATGGAAACTGTCCAACGCTGAGACTTATTCAAAGATGCGTTTAAAGCTGGTGCCCAACCACAACTACGATTCTCACAGTGAAGCCAGCGCCCTGAGGGACAACATGGGTTTGTCTCATATTACACACTTGTTCACTTTTCTTTGACGTCATTAAAACATAATGTTGCTGAGATGACAGCTGGTGTCGTTCTAATGGCTTTTCAGGAGCCGAAAGCCCTCGTAGCTCTGAGCCTCTGCCGCTGGCTGTGGCAAAAGAAGCCAAAGTGAGCGACATGGAGGACGACCAGTTGGGAGAAGAAGACCTGGTCAATTTGGATAATAAGTCAGTGTGCTTTAAACAACTTGACACACAACAGACATGAAAATATTTGACAAGGCCTTGAATTTATTGTCTCTTTGAGTGTGAAAATCATGGCGTCTGCAAACACAGGAGTCAGAATTTAAAGGTTTTCCTTATCTTGTTCCGTCAGGGGGGAGGGAGAAGAAGAAAGCCAGAAAGAAAAACTGGTTCTCTCCGAGGACTGTGAACTCATCACCATCGTGGCTGTTGTGCCGGGTCGTCTGGAGGTTACCACACACCATCTCTACTTCTACGATGGCAGCAGTGAGAAAGAAGAGACGGAGGAGGGTGAGAATTCAAAGCATAAGTGTGAGAGCCTTTTAGAACTCCCCTTCAAAGCTTTCGCTGAAAATAAATATGATCCCTGCTTTCAGGAATCGGGTTTGATTTTAAAAGGCCTCTGTCCCAGCTCAGAGAAGTTCATTTGAGACGCTACAACCTGCGACGCTCTGCACTGGAGCTGTTCTTCATAGATCAGTCTCACTACTTTATCAACTTCAGAAAGAAGGTAGAGCTCAGTTCAGATTTCACTAATTCAGTTGATGTGACTGTTCGACCAAAACCCTGCGTTTGTTCTTTCAGGTTCGTAATAAGGTGTACTCAAGGATCCTGGGGCTGCGGCCGCCAAACCTTTTCTACTTTGGCTCCCGGTCCCCTCAAGAGCTACTGAAGGCGTCAGGACTCACACAGGTGTGCAGTCATTTATATAAATATTACTTTTCATAGATGTGGTGCTTTACCTCACCAACCACGTGCGTTTTTGTCGGACAGAAATGGGTTTGCAGGGAAATCTCCAACTTTGAGTATTTGATGCAGCTGAACACCATCGCTGGACGCACATACAACGACCTCTCGCAGTATCCTGTGGTAAATACTCACTCTCTGTTAAGCAGGTACTTCCAACTATGTTTAAATTCATGGCTGGGTTTGCATCAGTGAGTTTTTCTGTCTTCAGTTTCCCTGGATCTTGTGCGACTACACCTCAGATGTTCTGGACCTGGATGATCCAAATATTTTCAGGGACTTGTCTAAACCAATCGGTGTGGTCAACCCAAGACTGGCTCAGAATGTCAAAGAAAAGTGAGTCCTCATTCAGAATATATAATATATTACATTTGAATGTCTTTTTTTTCTTGAGCCATATGCAGTTTTACAGTCCAAACGAGTACAAGTTTTTTTTACCTAAAAATGGGAAAGAAATGTTACTGTTGTATCTAAATTCTCTTTAGATACAAGAACAGCATAATCTTAATATGGAATACAAGCATATGTTAATATAAACCTGATGTTAAGGCAACAAATTCCCTAGTGTAAGATCAATAAAGTTATCAATATATATATTATTATTATCCTCAGACTCCAGTAGTTATCATAGAAATAGATGTTGTTGAAGACTTTCATGAATCACTGTGAAATGAATCATGTTCCATATAATGAAAAAAAATTCTGATTCTTTCATCAGGTATGAGAACTTTGAGGACCCGACAGGCACCATTGACAAATTCCACTACGGCACACACTACTCAAATGCAGCAGGAGTCATGCACTACATGATCCGCATGGAGCCGTTCACCACGCTGCACATCCAGCTGCAGAGTGGCAAGTACGAGGACCCACTCCAGTTTGACGCTCATTAGCATTTCCTCCGTTTTCTCCACCCTCGGACCGCTTTATCTCGTCTCTGTTTTGCAGGTTCGACTGTGCAGACAGACAGTTCCACTCAGTGGCAGCCGCCTGGCAAGCTCGCATGGAGAGTCCTGCTGACGTCAAGGAGCTCATACCAGAGTTCTTCTACTTCCCAGAGTTTCTGCAGAACCTGAACGGTAAAGACGACACCTGGACTCAAATGTTGTTGCTTTGACGTTGAAGATGTATTCACTCCGGTGTTGTTGACTTATCCATAATGCTTATTGACTGCTACAGGGTTCGACCTGGGGCATTTGCAGATATCTCAGGATCCGGTGGCGGAGGTTCTACTGCCTCGCTGGGCCACGTCCAGAGAGGACTTCATCAGGAAACACAGGAAAGCTCTGGTGAGTCAACATCGACAGGCAAACTTTAAAAACATACACTGACCAAGAGCTCTGTCATCATCGTCTGTGTTCGACCCTAGGAGAGTGATCATGTGTCCAGTCGCCTCCATGAATGGATCGACCTGATCTTCGGTTACAAGCAGAGAGGAGAAGAAGCAGTGAACGCACTTAATGTTTTTTACTACTGCACCTATGAAGGTAATATATATGTCCTTGACATTACATTTAAATTTAAAATAAGAAAATGCATAACTTTTAACATTTGTAAACACAGTGCATGTAGGCACCCTTCCTCCCCACCAGGTGGTGCTTAGTTAAAAAAAAAACTTTGCCTATTACTTTCTTCCCAAATATTTTTTTACAACTGTGTTTTGTGGCATTAAAATTATTTATTTACATACAGTAATAGTGCACCTCTAGTGGCAATTTTAAAAAGAACAAGTCCCTTTGTTTTGTCTGCAGGTGCTGTGGATCTGGATGCCATTGCCAATGAAACTGAGCGAAAGGCCCTGGAAGGCATCATCAGTAACTTTGGACAGACACCATGTCAGCTCCTCAAGGTAGCGTCAGTTACACCAGCCATTTGACCAGTATCAATACCATACAGGGCCATAAGGGGAGCTGGAGTTTTTATTATTGTAAATACATAAAAATATTAGTTGTTGTACTCCACTTTTAGTTCTTCATTTTTATAACTTATATTTAGCTAAATGTGAATGAGAGTGTCTTGCAGAATTGAGAATAAAAAACATGCTAAATATCATCAGTTAGATCTAGAGCTTGGATCAGTTTACATCCATCAGGGTTCAATATGACCTTCCTCTCTGTGCCCAGGAGGCTCATCCTCCTCGGATGACGGCAGAGAATGCAGAGCGGCGACTGGTTCGTCTGGACACGATGCCCCTAAATATCTTTGAGGATCTCAAGAAACTCCGTCCTTTTGTGGAGGTGGGGTCAAAAGTCTTTATTTAAACACTGGACTTCCTGTAAAACACACATATTGTCACTGAACGAAATAAAAAAAAATCTGTTGTGGGATAAATAATATAAATATTGAAATTTAAATTCATTTTTATTGCTGCACCGTCCCTGCAGTAGCCTGTGCCCCTCACTTTGAGGACCATCTGTGTAGTGTAATTATTTTCTGAGACTTAAAGTTGTGTTTTGTGGACTCAGGTGCTGTGTGATGGCCTTGCCCTGGTGCAGGCAGTGGTGCCGAAGAACCAGAACCGATCCTTCATCATTCAGGGCTCAGACATTTTGGTACAGACACTTCCTGTTGGGCGGAGAGAGAATAGAGAGAGATTTATTTGTGAGGGTTAATTCTTTTTTTTTTTTTTGCCTGCTGTTCCTTGGTCTGTCTCCAGGTGACTGTGAGCTCAAATGGCTTAATAGGAACTCACAGCTGGCTGCCGTACGACAAGAACATCGCCAATTACTTCACCTTCACAAAGGATCCAACCATGACTAATCCCAAGTCAGTGTCCTCTCATTTGATATAACATTTGATATTTATATATTTAAAGACTTTGATTTAATATAAGTGTAAGAGAAAATCTAACTGTTGGTAGTAAACGTACTTTTCCAATACATCTGTTTTACACTCCATCCTCAGTGGAGAATAAACTCTTCCTGACAGTTGAGTAGAAATATTACCATCGCTCTGATCATCCTCCTATGTCTGTTAAGCTTCAGAGTTTGTTTGACTAATTAAAATGTGCTTTAATGGTCTTATTTTATTCTGATCCTGACGGGGATCACATAAACAGACAATAAACCAGGGCAGAAAAAGCCATGTGAACATCAGGGGTTTTTTTTGGTGAAGTTGTAATTTCCCTGAAGTCCTGACAGTTTAATGTGCTGATTATAAATCTCTGCTACATCTAGGCCACGACTCCATCTCACCACTAACTCACTTTGATCTTCTCTATCCCTGCCCTTCGGTGCAGGATGCAGCGTTTCCTGAGTGGACCATTCTCCACCGGGGTGGAGATCAGCGCCCAGGTGCTGGTGGTGTCCAACGACGGACGTCTGCTCTTCAGTGGAGGACACTGGGATTGCAGTCTCCGTGTCACGCAACTGGGCAAGGGCAAGCTGGTGGGCAGGATCTGCCGGCACATTGGTGAGCAGATATTATTGTAAGTTTAATTTAAAACAAGACAAAGGTGGGATTTTTATTTATTTATTTGTGCTTTTGTGTGTGTGTTTTACAAAGATGTTGTCACATGTTTGGCCCTGGATCTCTGTGGAATCTACCTCATCTCTGGTTCAAGAGACACATCCTGTATAGTGTGGCAGGTTCTACAGCAGGTGACGCTCTTTTTTCATAGTCTTCTATAACTTCTTCACTGGTACATGTGTTCATGATGTCATCACCGTGGTCTCTCTCACTCGTTGTGCCTCAGGGGGGCTTCTCCAGCGGACTGTCTCCTCGACCGGTGCAGGTTCTCTGTGGACATGACCAGGAGGTCACCTGTGTGGCCATCAGCACTGAACTGGATATGGCTGTGTCAGGGTCAAAGGTCAAGAATCTTTTGGGTTTTTTCCCCTCTGGTTCTGCTGCCTAAACTGATCTTGATTATGTTTGTGCTAATTAATTTGTCTATTTTGTTTTTTGTCTGTCTTTTTTTCCTAGCTTTGGGCCAATTTTGACTCAACTTTCAGTTACCTTAATAGCTAACTTTAACCTTGGTTTACTAAGATGTCTTAGATGTTACGTGCTAATTTTAACATTGTTCATTATCTTTCAGCTATCTTCTTAGCAATTTTTTTTTTTTACTCAACTAAATCTTAGCGGTTACAGGGCTAAATTAGCATTTTTCTGAGCAGCCTGCTCTTCCATTAGCACATTGTTTGTGTTAAAATTGTACTTGTAGCCTTCCATTGCAAATTTCCCACTTTCTAAAATGTTGGGATTACCTTTTACTATGTTATTAGAGTTTAGATAAAGGGGAAAAGACGTCATCACATTTGAACCCACATTAAAAAACTGTTTTGACAGCCTGCCCCTCTGTCTCCTGCCCACAGGATGGGACCGTAATCGTGCACACAATCAGGAGAGGTGAGTTCCTGCGGACGCTGCGACCTCCCGGAAATGGCTATGTTCCTGCTCCGATCTCGGCGCTGCAGGTTGGCATGGAGGGTCACATTGTGGTACAGACCTCCCTGGAGGAGCACTCTCACAGAAAGGTACAGGAAAACGTGAATTTAAACTCATTTATTCAAAAAATGTGTCTTCTTACTTTTGCTTTTAATGCTTTTCCATTTTATTTTATTTTTTTAATATTTTAGGGTAAGTACTCCATTCATGTTTACTCAGTGAATGGATGTCTACTGAGCTCATTCAGCACCGAGGAGCAGGTGACTGCTCTCCATCTGGTCTCTGAGTACGTCATCCTGGGCACCATGCAAGGCAGCCTCCACATACGAGATTTATACAGGTGATGACATCACAGCCATTTGTAATGATAGTGGTTTTGATTATTTGTTTAGTCTCCATTACCTGAACTGTAACACCTCCTCCGTTGACAGCCTGGACGCTCAGGTCTCTCCACTGGCACTGAAGGTTCCTGTGAGGAGTGTGTCTGTGACCAAAGAGTGCAGCCACATCCTGGTGGGACTAGAAGACGGGAAGCTCATTGTGGTGGGAGCAGGGAAGCCAGAGGAGGTGAGACGTGTTTGTATGTATGTATGTGTGTGTGTGTGTGTGTGGAGGTGGGGTAATCATATGCTAAGTAGGTGCAAAAACCCAGCCTTTTCACATGATAATTGAGCGTCTTTGGTGTGACATCTCTGTTTTTGCCCTGAAGTGAAGATTAACATGCCCCTCCCCCGACCCCTGCTCCTCGTCTCAGGTTCGCTCAGGACAATTCCCTCGTCGCCTGTGGGGCTCCACTCGCCGCATCTGTCAGGTGTCGTCAGGTGAAACCGAGTACCATCCCACGGACAATGCTGGGAAATAGTTAAAGCAGCGGTGGAGGAATTCCGAGGACTTCACCCGGTTGAGTTTAAGACCTTGTCTCCACAGTCACCGGTCTCCCCGAGAGAGCAACCACACACACTAAGCACTTTTTTATTCTTAAGTGATTTGACATTTTAGTGCCTTTTTCTTCCAATGTTTACTGTTTTGTTTTGTTTTTTTAATTAATTTTTAATCAGCATCATTCCAAAGAGTGGCCTTGTTTTATGGATTACAAACGACCATGTTGATGGTTTGAGAACAACAGTGAAAGGAATGATTCACTCTGCTCGGCACTCAGATATGGAGGCTGAGTGATGCTGTGAAGTCCATGTGTTCTTCGGTCTTGGCTCAGCCTCCATCAGAGAAACAGCTGTGATGTTCGTGCTGTTCCCAAATCCATTGTTTTTGGAACTTCTAAAACTGAAAACTTGAATCTACTGCAGACTTGACATTTCTGCGTTGCAATACTTGTCTGTACCACAAGAGGCTTTTGCCTTTAAAAGCGACACAGACTGAACTGATCACCAGTGAGTCCACCTTGTGGAACCTTAACACCACAAGTGCTCTGTGTCTTTTACATTCCCTCCTCCGATGGAAATGTGCAACTGTTACAATTAAAGCAATGCATTTAAAATATTGCTCGTGTAAAATATATGTATTCTTAATAATTATGGAGAGTAAAAAGGTTGAACTGTTATATTTTCATATCTCTGGTCATTGAAAAGTGCCTTCTGAGCTTCCGTCTCCAACCAGGTGTAAACACTGAGCTCCAACCACTGGTGATGATTTGTTTCCTCTGAATTAAACACACCTCTCTGGTCTGCTGTGACTCAGTGGGGGGTGAGGGTGAGGGTGTGAGAGGCTGGCAGCTGTTGTTGATGAAGTCAGTAAACTGTACACTGAATGTACACGCATGTTGCTGCAAACGTCTGAAGACACGATGACTCCGACACACGTAAGAGTCCGTGAGTGTGAGTGAGCTTCGGAGGAATTCACGTCCTGCTCGGCTTCTCTACTGTGGTTGGAACAAAGTGGTTGCCGTGCTGCGTCATGACAGGAGAGAGTGGGTTAACTGTTTAGAGAAAATGCAATACTCTTAACAGCGTGCACACAAAACAAATTACCTTAAGTTCTGTTGAAAGCAAAGCTTATTATAAACAAAAAATAAACAATTTATGTCGTGTTGCTCTAAAACCATCTGCTTTTCTCATGGGAGTGAAAATCAGAAAATCCACTTTTCTATTCTTCATGCTGAAAAAATAATGAACTCTATAACCTTGCACTGTTTTTCTGAAATCATCATAGTCGTACTATAATCTTAAACTATGCAGTTACTAACACCCGGAGCCTTAGATTGAATTCACCAGGTGTGGAATTTGGGATTTTACAGCCGCAGCCTTCTCTCATCACCAGCTGGATTATTTCACATTATTTGTCATTTATTCTGTAAAAACCCGAGGAGGAGAGCGGTCCCGTCGTGTGCACTCGTCTCACTCTCACTCTGACGGCTGTTGTTTGTTTTTTGTATTGTTCTGGAGAGAAGCTGAAAATACACCTTGTGTTTAAAAAAAGTGAAACGGCCTCCTGGGTTCACTGCAGAGGGAGCTGTGGTTGTGGTTGTCTGCTTGTTCTCTGTGTCTCGGTTGTTTTTTGTTTTGTTTTGTTTTTTTCATGCTCAAACATGTACAGACACAGTGACTGCACACTCCAAATTGAAGACAATGATTTCTTTACTTCTTACCAAGTTTTCCAAGTGCTTTTTTCCCCACAATAAATGGTTCTCAACACAGTTGCTTCATTGACGAAGCTTTTATTTAGACATAAAAACGGACCAAAAAAAAACCTAAAAACTAACTGACTTTATGGAGTTCCACCACAGTTGTGCTTTAAACATTTATTTTAAGTTTCTATTTTCATAAATACTCAACATATGTCAACGTGCTTTCAAGTTCAAGTCTTCCCTCGACACAAACTTAAGAGCGAAGGTTTAGAAAGAAAGACAAGGACGTACAAAGTCATCGACGTGTTTCAGGTCGTAGTGTTGGAAGTACGAGTTCACAGATGTCCATGAGGTTATTGATGTTCTCAAAGATAGGAACCAAACGGAACCACAGACTGTGAACAAATGAAGGGAATAGTCAAAGATATGACTGAGGTTCTGAGGAATTACTGACTAGTTATAATGACTATCGAGTGACAATAGTCAGTCTGGATTTAAATTTAAATAAGAGAAGATTAAAAAACAGTACTCCTACAGTACTGTAATGTACTGCAGTCGACAATAGTCAGTCTGGATTTCAATTTAAATAAGAGAAGATTAAAAAACCCTCCTACAGTACTGTAATGTACTGCAGTATGTGGCTACGAACCAAAAAACACAAACAAAAAAAAAAAAAAAAAAACACATATGCTGAACAGACTGAAAAAGCCAGACACCAAGTCTGGGGCCCACCTTAAAAAAAATCAACACATACTTGAAAATATTTATTGGATGAGACAAAATCAAATTTTTCTCATCCAATAGAAATTCGACTTAATTTCTCTATTGTATTTTATTTCTTTTTAATTTCTCCAATTCTTCTGCCCCGTCTTTGTCATCTTCTCCTTCTTTTTGCTTTTCTTTACAAATGTTGTGTTGGCGTTGCCTCAGAGATGTCTGTTTATCATTGAAAATCAGACACCTGTTGGAATTTAGAGGTTTTTAACTCTTGGAAATGAACACAAATGCCTGTAAGAAAAAAGTATACTGTATATACATTAGACAAAGAGACAGTGTCATGATAGTGTATAAAAGTGTGTTTTGTGGCCAAATCAATCCATTTCCTCCGATTGTCCCCCCCAGTCCTGTCTTCAACTGTCCTCAGTACAGTGACCAGTTCTGAGCTGTGACTCCTGTGTTTGAACTCCAGCAGGAAGGAGAGTGATCCAGTGGCACAGTGACGATCCTCCAGCTCCTCCACTGTAGTCCCAGCCTCACAGCTGCCTGTGATGTTAACAGTACTGCAGTTGAAAAGGTCACACCAGGCAATGATACATTTATTTGAAGGGACTTTGATCTCCTGGTGGGCCGAACATCCTGTGGGCCTGCCCGTAAACACCTCTGGGGGGGACAATTCAGAGGGGTGGGGCAGGGGTGAGGAGGGTGATAAATCCGACCTGCAGACCCCCGGTCAAACAGAAACCACAGAAGATGCAGTAAATGAGGGAAGTGGGGGTGAGGAGGGACGCAGTGGCTCTGATGTTGCCCCCATGACAATGGTGGGAGGGTTTGACACCTCACTCCTGGTTACTGGCAGGATCTGTCTCTGACCCTCCCCGAGACCCACACTCCTCCACCCCCAGGACTGAGGGCAGGCTGAGGGAAAGGATCCTGTGAAAGGCTACAATTCTGGTGTTGTTCAAGTTCTTCCTGCCGAGAACCGCAACAACCCTCAAACTGGCCTGGGTCAACAACCTCAGCCCTCCTTCTCCTCCCCCTCCTCCCTCCCCCTCCTCTGCTCCATTCCAACAGTTTCTCCTCGACTGCAGAGAGATTGTCTTTCACCTGTCACTTCCTACCCATGAGGAGAGCACAAAGGAACTTGACCTTTCAGATAACAAGTCCGGACCTGACAACAACATCATGTACATGTTGTGTTTGTAAAGTAGAATATGAAGACACTTGTTAAGGTGGTTAAGTCCTGTTGATGCAGATTAAATGTTCTTAGGTGTAATTGTACTACAATAAAAATGTAACACGGTCAAAAAGTTTGTGACAAATTCATTAATTCAGCCCAACAGTCTAGTGCTGGGAAACTAGACAAAAAAAACAAACACTGAATGTCTGAGTCAGACTAAGGATAGAACTGAGCGCCCGCTGGTCTGTGGGCCTGTACACCACTAACTGTTTTAATATATTTCAGTCTAATAATTTTAGATCAGACCTTTGATAAGATCAGCCTGAACTAATTTGTGGGGGGTGATCATCAAAACTCTATATTAATAAAACAAATGTTTTTTTTGTTGTTTTTTTTTTTACTTTTTTAATGTATAAAACTAATCCACACAAAACATTTTTTATTAAACTGGCCAGATGTAGCAGAGACAAAATGACAAAATGAAGCAGCTTTATTCATTACTATTTGTTATACACTATAAAAGGAATTTTACTATTCACACACACGTGTGGATTTACTGCACCCGGGTGGTTTGGGTGTTTGCTTAAAACCACCACTGTGTCGATCATCATTGGGACTGGCAGCCGTCCAATCACAAGCCGGCTCCTGTGACCACTGGCCTGCGGGCTGCTCTCATGAATTTCACGAGGCAAGTGTTAAAATGTAAAATACTGATGTTTAGCCAATAACTGTCTGATACTCTCTTCTTAACCAAATTTTTTTAATGAATTTTATGGACTTTTATTGATACACACTGAGGAAATCTGCTGCCACAGGCCTTCCCTTGGAGATACATTTGAATTTGTTTAAATTGGTCATATTTGTAATGAAACACAACTGATATTTACATTTAAAAGACAAAAAAACAAAACAACCTGTGCTTCAGTTACGCAATGATGCTGTGTTTATGACACACACACTCAACTGAAATGCAGAACGTGTTTGTATCTGTGTGTGTGAGAGAGTGAAGTACTTTATACCTGGGAGCTTCAGACAGAGCAGGAGTAAAACCTGCGTCTCCTCTCGTACCTCCTCAGGCTTTGAAGTGTAAGTAGCATTGTGTCTGAGAGATCTCTCCATTTGTTTTCTTCTGAAGTCCCCCTGCCCCCCCTCCCCCTTCTCCCCTGCTGTGCATTCACTAGAATTTACAAGGTGTGTAATTTAGCCTGCGTTGGTTTTCTAATCTTTTGAATTGTTAAGATCAAAAGTGTTTCTTTGGAAGAGGATCTTGTTTGAATCACATGCTCCTTTTTTTCTTTCTTACTGATAACAACTGATCACAGCCAGCTATGTATCAGGGCCATAAAGTGGTGTCGTTTGACAGACGTAACGATGGGTAAATCCAGAATCCATGAAGATGCTGGGGTGGAAGAGTACTAGAAGTGAGTGCCAATAATACTGCAGTAAAAAGGAAATTATTATTATTATTATATGTAATCTGAAGAAACATGAAGCACTATACAGTATTGTTTCATTTCAGAATAAAATCTAATGTTAATTGGTAAAATATGGAGTTTAATTTAGCATCTGCTAATCTGCTATAAATGTAAATGTTTTTTTCTAAATTTGAGCCTTTTTACAAAAAATGAACACGTTGACTCCTCATGACCTTCACCTCCTGGTCCCAGGATTGATTTCCTTAGGGCAGTGTTTTGTTTTAGTGTTAAACTACTGGTTGGTACTACATATATTTATTAGGTGTATTTCTGACAGAGAGACATGTGAGGGTATAGATTTATTATTATTATTGCATTTTTTCTGTCCTCTTACCTTTTTTGTGTGGCTTTAGTTCAGTTATCGATGAGAGTATTCCTTTATTATGTATAATATACTTACTTTTGACAAATACCTTGTGCCGTTTTTGTCTTCAGATATTACTTAAAAAAATACCAAAACTTAAAATATCTGGATTTAGGGCAATGCTGTGTCTTTGTAACGTAAAAACTGCTGTTTTGTCTCATATTCATACTATATACAATAAACGATATTTCTCTTCCGGTTCCCTTTTCTTCCCCTTTATTCATGCTATACTTCTTCTTCTTCTTATAAATTAATTAAATTATTTTACTGTCTCTGTCCGTCTTTTTTACAGATGCGGTAATATAAGTCAACTGCCTGTAAACCACACACATTCTCGTGTCAGACTTGATTACAGTTAATAATCTGTCTTCCATTACATTACTGTTTCCGAAAGTTCGTATTAGGGATGCAGCCAATCACAGCGACCCGTCGTGAAAGCTGAGAAGCTGGGAGGAGAAAAAGCCCAGGAGAGCCCGCTGTAGCTTTTCCTCCTGTCCTCATCTGATGCGAAACTGCGGGAGAGGAGAGCAGAGGAGCGGAGGAGGCGGTCAGTCCGTGCATCCTGCGAGCTCAAACAGAGGAAACCTTGTGCTGACTTTCACAGAATCAGCGGGGAATAGAGGGAAATAGTGCGCTGCCACCTGAGGAGTCCTGGGATTATACCGCCTGGCTTTTTAACGCTGCGTAAAAAAGAAATGACCCAACTGTGCCGTCGACTCAAGTGACGGCTTTTCAGCGACGAGCTTCGGACACACTTTCGCTGCAACTTTCTTTTTATTTTAAAGAAAAATCTGGTGCCGCTGCGACACGACAGAGGAGGTTCATTTGAATACTGTGACACGGACAGACCTGTTCACTCAGAGTCGCGGAGGGATTTGCAAACATGGGGCTGTTCGTTGTCACCGCGCTGCTGCTGCTAAAAGTAAGTTTAAAAGATAATTACGCTTCAATTTAAACAATGCCACGCCGTAAACCAACAACTTTTTACGTCAGTGTTGTCATGAGAATGGTTTATATTACTAACATTGTATGGAGTTATTTCTGTTTTGTTTGTTTGTTGTTGTTTTTTTTTTTAGCTTTTTTACATAAACTGTATCTGTGACTATCCAAACAGAGTGAAATCACTGTCAATACCTGGCCCGTGGCCTAAACAACTACCGCTGCTGCAACATGCTCACCAACATCCTGTAAATGTGTGGAAAACTCTTTCTGTTGTGTGTCTAAACAGCTCAAAGTGGGAAGTCATTGTTCATTTTTCCACTCACATGACTTCTTTTTCATTCCTTAACCGTCTGCAGTCAGAATGAGCCAAACAACTGGGAACATCACAGGAGAAGGAAAGAACAGGAGATGTTTCTCTCACTCTCTCTCTCTCTTTTTTTTGATTCTTGTAGTTTGTGTAGAACTTATACCTCAGCGGTGTGTGATAGCATATCATTTAAGGATATAGATCAGTTAGAAAAGAAAGACGCTCTGCCTTCACACTTACAGACAATAATTTGACGCTTATCTCCTTGAAAAATCCCAGTGGGCCCATCATTCCTGTCTGGACACGCTCATCAGCCTCAAAGCACTTTTTACATCAAAGAAGTCTGCATAGATAAGGGCTCTGCTCTTTAAAGAGATACTCATCTCTGTCATGGATCCCGTTGCTCATTTCAATGGGAATAAAACCTGTTTTATTTACAAAATCCAAGAGACGTCGCTGGTCATTTCATAATCTGATCATTTGTGCGTCACCAAACAGCTCCTTCGTTACACACGGGATAATTGAACGCAGACATAGACAGTGTCGTACGGTGCACGGCTAATCACGTAGCACAGCAGAAACATGTCTCTAAGGCCTGTACTTTACTGTACGTGTTCTCACATTAGTCGCTCATGGGAGTTCCTGGTGAAAAGGCCTGCGCCGCTGCTGAGGTTTGAACATCCGGAGAAAAGCAATTATCATCATTTTCTCTCCAAGTTTGTGGCAGTATTTTGTTACCGCAGTCATTTTGATTTCCACGCAGCAGTTAAGCAGCTTTCTTTG